CAATTGTGACACAAATAAGTATTTTTTCATCCAAACTGACTTTTTACAAAAAACTTTAATTTAAGCATTTTTAAATTTGAATGTCCAAACAATACTTACTCAATAGAAGTGTTTTTTTATAAAATACTTTTGATAAACACTTATTAAAAAAATACTTTTTGAATTTCATAAGTCATTCCAAATGCACCCTCAATCTTTTTAGAGGGTTATTTACATTTACTCAATAAAGAATATTTTTATTCAACTAATCTCTTTTAATAGTCTCATTATTTTTGTTTTGGCCAACACCAAAATTATGAATTATTTCTTGACTTTAAATTATTTGCATGTGAAGTGTGTTATTAAAAACTCTTGAGATATGATTTTAGGTCATCTTTGATATTATTTGAGCCTAAACTTCATTCTTTCAAAATTATTATCCCTAGAAGCCATGAATGGGTCATTGAAGTAAAATTTTATTTTTCATACCCAACATATAATAATTAAGTCAATGAAAGAAAAAATATATATTATGTTTTTTCTTGGTTATCCCGAAATTGAACTTTTTATTGTTTATGTAATTTGGGAGATGTTGGTTGAGAAAAGATGATAAAAATTTTTTTTTACATACTTGTGAATATTTGCATCAGATGTCTTACTAAAATATATATATATATATATATATATATATATATATATATATATATATATATAGATTCAATTGTCTTGCTAAGAAGAAAAAAAGTGGAAAAAAAGAAAAATTATATGTCTAGCAGATTGAAAAAAAAAAGAGATAGAAAAGAATAGAAAGAATGAGTTGAAAAAAATATGAGCAAGTTGTAAATTGTGCTTCTAAAAGGTGAAGAATCAAAGATTATGGAAAGAAGTTTGGTTGTGTAATGTATATGTTCTCTCGGGATAGTCTTTTGAATTCATAAATATCTTTCGTTTCAAAACCCTAATCCCAAGACCCCATTATAACCTTAAATAAAGTCCTATCTGATCTTAAGAGTGTATTGATGGATGCATGACTCGTGTGAATAAAAAAGAGAATGGTGATTGTTTATATATTGTGTGTTGATTTCCTTTCATAAGACTATGTCAAATCCTTTTCTTTTGGATTACGTTTTTTTTAATGGAACATGTGAGCATTATTTTATTTTGACTTAAATATCTTCTTCTCACATGTGATATTTGAGGGAATAATCACTATTATCTAAGAGAATCTTTTATGAGTGAATTATCTAGTGAGATTTGGCATTAAGATGAATAGTTGATGGTTGTAGAGGTGATTACCGGATAAATTATTGACTTGGTATAGTAAATTCACACTACACATGATTTTATATGGGAACATGATAAGTGCATATATTTATATAGCGTAGAATTTTATATTTTACTTTAGATGTGCTTATAAAAAGACTTGTATCTGAGATTTTTATATTGTGGTAGCAATTATTGTTATAAAATTATTATTCAGATATTTGATCACAGGGTGATGTTTGTGGGTATCATATCTGGAAACTCTCACGAGACTATACTCGTCTACTAGGGGGAACCTAGGTGTTTAAAGATTTGTTTCATATGTTAAATGCAATCGTGAGATCTACGAAAATAGATTTGTGTTTTATTTTATTAGTTAATTTTATTTTATTAGTTTTTAGATTTTAGGATCCATGTATTACTAAGGACTAATAATATTCAAGTTGGGGGTGTGATTAATCATCAAAATTGTTATTTTACTATATTTACTGATTGGTTAATTGCATATTATTTGTGATTAAATGTGTTCAATTCCTTGATTTTCTAGTTTGATACATTTTCTAGTTATTTGGTTTATTTTATAGGTAAATTGATTGATTTAAAGTAATAATGGATAATGCAAGTGAAACAATCACCAAAAGAAGAATCACAATTGATAAAGATTGAAGAGTCAAGATTGAAATAGGAAAACTTGAAAATATGGCAGCAATTTAATCCTTATAAGAGTCCAAGTTAGAAGAAAACTCATTTAGAGTTTAATTAGGAAAGTATCCTAGAAGATAAGGATTTGACACGGTTTCAGTATTTTGGTCATAACTTTTGACTCTGATATCCGATTTACTTGATTTTTTGTGGTTGAAAATAAGACTTCAAGGGCTACAAAAGTGTATTTCATGAAATTTGGTGATTCAACTTCTAAATATGCAAAATTTAAGTTTAAAGTCTGGACAGATTTTCTACCCGCGCCTCAAAAATTTTATGCACGGGATTTAATCTTACTAGACTTATTTTTGGAAAGGAATTTCTTTCAAGCCAACCTTATATCTTCTACCTATACTTAGGATTTATTTTTAGTATAAATAGGGGTTCTCATTTAGATATTAGAATTATTCTTTTTACCATCTTTTTATTTTTTATTTTAATTCATCATGTTTGGCTAAAATGCTAAGTTAGGGCTAGGGGAGAGCCTCTCAATGAAGTACGATAATATTATTGATTCTGAATTTAATGATTTATGATATTTTGTTAATTTAACTTCTGATCTTATAGCAAAATTTTTATTCTGTAAAAATCTTTGAGTCGTTGTGTCATGTACATCGATTGCTTGCTTGAATTTCCCTGAGAGTAAATAACTAATTATTTCATGCTTGAGGTAATTATCATTATTTTATAAAATAATATAATTGGTTGATTATTCAGGTTCTTAAATAATCTTTTGATTGTAACTTTAAGATTTCTTACTTGATTTGTTACTTGAATTAACCGACATCTGATTCTTGTCTAAAGTTAAGATTTGAGTCTTTAATCATTATTGTACGGAATTGAGAGGGAGTACCAGATGTTCTAGTATTTTTATTATTGTTTTAATTATTTAAATCAATTTTCTTTACTCAACAATTCCCTAAACAAATCAGTTATTTTTAAGTTTGTTTTAGTATTTGTGTGATTGCTTTCTTGTTACAATTTCTTGAGGGTTCAACCTCGGTCTTCTGAAAAATATATTATTTCGCTCAACCTACGCTTGAGTTTATAATATTAAAGTTGAAGCAGAGAACATCGTAACTACCTCATCCGTTAAGAAGAGGTCATCAGCTCCACCAGATTAGCTATTTAGTTACTATTAAGTCGTCTTAATCTATTAAGAGGCGACTATAAATTGTAAACTCCACCAACTCTTAGGGGGTATATCACACTCAGTCGAGCACAACTCTCATATTTCTCTCAGCTTGTATCCTTACTCTCCCTACACACTTGAAGTAATAAAATACCCCGACAACCCTAGCCCTTTAAATTGAACGTAGGTCATGTTGACCAAACCATTATATATCCTTATCTTGCTTGTGTCTCTCTTAATTATTGCATTTATTACTTATCACTTAACAAGTGGTGTGCAAATCCGATTTGTGCATCATCATATTCTAACTTTAATTGGGATAATTGGTAGTTTAATTTGATCGTTTGAACTACCAAATTAAATTTCAATAAATAATATAATTGTATACTAATGATGATTTTTTAAGAAAAAATTAAATTTTTATTTTTATTTTTATTTCAATAAATATCATAATAGAATATGAACTTTAATTGTAAAATTTAAAATATTTGATATTTTATTTTTAGTTGGAATATTTTTTGTTTAAGTATAACATTTTAAACTTGAGAAGTTTAAGTATTATTCACTTACAAATTTTAGGGGGTGTACATGTAATTTATTAACGGATATACTAAATGACATTGACCGCAAAGAGTCTAAGTGTTACACGCATACAAACTTTCAGGGGTCTGTGTGTAATATTTAAAATGTCAAGAAATCTGACTGATTAAGTGACAAACTTTAAGGGATCTGAGTGTAATTCTTTCTATTATTTTTTGTACTTAATTATTTTTCTTAAAATTGACAATATTATAACAAAAATCGTATTTTAACATGCTATCTACGGAGGGTTGATGATGCATTGAGGATTTTTTTATTGGTCCACTGGGAGAGAGTATTTTTTTTGTTCAATCATGTCTTTATATTTTCAATAGGAATTTTTTGTTGTTACGAAACCCTAGGCTACCATGTACTTGTAAGGGGTTTTTTTTAATTTATGAATATTAAAATATTTTTATTTTATTTCTTTTGTGTTGAATTTTGAATTATTTTTTATCTTATTAGTTTATTAGATATGTATGCTTGCCGAGAGAAAACATTATTATAAATAAAATTTATTTTTTTAAGAAAAAAGAGTATTTGCTTCAGCTCAATACCTTACTTTTGCTCTAATTTTTTTACTTCTTTAATTTATCAATGTTAATACGTTTTTTGTTTTGACAATAGGTTGAAACTAACGTTTTTTCATTAGAGCTTTTTTACTATGCCCCTTTTGTTATGAATAAAGAACCGTTGAATCAAAATTCTCTTATTCTTGTAGTGACTGACAATTAAAAAAATGGTAATTTGGATAAAAACTCTGTTAAATTGCCACTTGAGGTGGATGATCATATCTTTATTTTGCTCTTTGTTTTGGCATATAAAGGACTTAGACTATGGTATCGGAAAAAAAAAAATTGGCACCATGTTTCTAAAATTTATTATTTTAAAGGGTATTTTTATAATTTTTGTGGGTCATTTTACAACTAAAAAAATCATCACTTTTATGGGTATTTTTACCACTTTTGTGAGTATTTTTACTACTCTTGTGATAACCATTTTTATTACTTTATTTGGTACAAAAAAAATTATTATTTTTATAAGTGATTTATCATTGTTGTGATAACTACTTTTACTATTTTTTTTGATACTACAACAATAACAAAAATACTCCTAATGTGATAAATATCAATGTTGTACCAAAATTTTGTTTTTTAGCCAACTCCAATAAAGAAAGTTCTGCCTCTGACAGTTACAGAAAATGCTACAAGGTTAAACTAGAGATGAAAATGGGTGTAGAAACTCATGCATACATTACTTGAGAGAAGTACATACCACTTGTCTAATTGCTCAAATTAACATATATATTCTCATATAAATATGACCAAATGGGACTTACATATTTCTAAGGAACAGAAGGGAGGAGTAGAACATATTTCTCACATTGACTGCAAAGAAATATATCAGGAACCTCTTCATTGTTTGGAATCCGAACACACCTTGTATGTTGCCAAACTTCACAAATGTCACACGATACGATTCGTTCGCCATCTTCATTTTTAGCTCCGCAAGGACATTCTACTACACGATGACTTTGAATTCCTTCACATATGCTCTCATGGAGGAGGATTCCGCTTTTGCCAAGGGTCCTCCCCTCGATAACCAATTTAGCACCATCTTTAACGAGCCTAAAAACCAATCCGATCCATTGACATTCAAATTCGTGATAGATTGTATCGTAAAACTCCTCAATCCCCTATATATCTCTCTAAATGTCCTCTTGATTCTTCCATAAGGTCATGAAATGTAGCATCATTCCTCAAGATAACACACTCATATGGTGCCATCAACTCTTTTAGACCGTCGCCATTGTTGTTGGTTAACATGATTGTACAATAGAGCTTTGATTTATTGCCTAGGCTGAGGCCTACGCAAGTTTGCGGAGACAGCTCCCCACAATATTCTTTGACAAAAAATTTCATGTCGAGAATTGCCCTTGAAGCTACTTGCATAGTAGTAAGTATTTCTGTATCGAGTGATGGTGTTTGCTCTTTAAGGATGTTTTTATACAAGTAAAACATGTCCTTCATAAGTTGAATCCTTGTAATCTTGTATTGAGACTTGGCCTTCTGATCATTCACTATGAAAGCTTCCTGATGATTTGGAAACGCGTCGGAAATGTCCTCTAAGCAATACTCGAGAACTTTTGTTATTGGATTTAAGCAGCGACGTACCAAATAATTCCAACAATACGATTCCCTAATGACTTTAGCACAAAATCTAATAAACCCGTGTCACCAATGTAGGCACGAGCGCTGTCACGAATTTCTTGCCTTGAAACCCACCGAAATTCAGCTCTCTTGAGGGATTCAACGATCACACGAGTAGCCATCTCAACTCGCTTAGGAGACCATCTACAAGCAGTGTCCACCAACATCCCCCTGTTGTTAGATGCATCAATAAAACCATCATTTGGAAGTCGGAGTTTTAGCTCAAACATGAATCGGAACAAATGGCCTAATGTCACCAAGGAATGGCCAGAAAGTGTTTGATATCTTGATAATAAAATTGGGATAACTTCAATATTGGAACTGCCAAGATGATGATAAGGAAGAAAGAAGTTTAATGGTATGTTTTGGATTGCTTCAATGGCGTTTTGGTACATTTGTTGAGTGACACCAAAGGTTCCACGCCCGAATCTGTAGCCCCATCGACCAAACCAAGACTCACTATATGCTACTCCATAGAGTAACCTCAAATCCATGCTGTTCTTCTTTGAGTTGTCAGCCAAACTCACTTTCCTATAACAAGTGAAAAAAATAAATAAAAATTAACAGGATTAAGATGATAACAAAGCTAGAAACGAAAGTGAGATAAATGCACAAACAACCCTTTAATACCCTTTCCTTAAAAATGAAACAAACACGAATGGTTTTTTGTCCTCTGTAATCGAGCGGCATGTTGAAGGTTAGATTCCCCTCCTTGACTCCCCTCCCTCTCTCTTGTAGTTTAAAAAAATCGTTGCTA